CTTTTTCCCTCAAAAAAGAGGCTGAAAATCTGGGTGTGTCTTATACACTGAATACAGCATTTTTTGCCTCCTGAAATCCCGCCCCTTCACCAAAAGGATCGTGCATAGCCTTTAGGAGGCTTGTAGAGTGCTCCTGCGGGAGTGCCCCCCCCCCAAACCAGCAATGGCCTGTTTTTTGCTCATTTCTGCCCTCCCTAACCCCCAGGAGCTCTCTGAAAGCTTCCTAGAGGCTCTGCATGGCCATTTTGGTGAAGGGGCGGGATTTCAGGAGGCAAAAAATGCTGTATTCAGTGTATAAGACACACCCAGATTTTCAGCCTCCTTTTTGAGGGAAAAAGGTGCGTCTTATACTCCAAAAATACGGTAATACTATTATCAACTCCTCTGAAGCTGCCGAAGCAATTCTGCCTTCGTGACGGCGAGACTTTTCATGGTGTTTCGGTGTCTTATAAATAGATTTCTACTCTATTGTATATGGCTATATTGGGGGGGGGGGAATCGTTAGCTTAGGTAGTTAGAGGATGGCCCCCAAGTATTTCTGCCTAGCCAATAGGGAGAATCAATGCACAATCTTGAGTGCCATCAATGAAATACAGGAAGTACTTCACTTACAACAAATCATTTAGTAATTGTCATTTAGTAAATGACAATTTTTCACATTTATGAGCATTGCAGCATCCCCATCAGTGGTGGGATTCAAATAATTTAACAACCAGTTCTCTGCCCTAATGACCAGCAGGGTAGCTGTGGCTCTGTGTTCATATGACTGGGTGGGCATGGCCAACTCAACATCACTCACGTTAATGGGCACTTCACCTTAGCTGTTCAATGTAATAAGGGTTAAACAGAGAGGCAGTTTCAGTAAGCAGGGCAATCAAGATCAGGCTAGAAACAACACCAGAATGTTTCCTTCCTGCCTTCCTTATAGGATTAACCCTGTAATGTGGAAAAAAACAAAATGAGATTTCTTCCAACAACCAGTTCTCCGAACTGCTTAGCAAGTTACCAACCGGTTCTCCCGAATAGGTGCGAACTGGCTGAATCCCACCACTGATCTCCATGGTCACATGATCAAAATTCAGATACTTGGCAACTGACTCATATTTATGACGGTGGGAGTGTCAGGGGTCATGTGATCCCTTTTGCAACTTTCTGGCAAGCAAAGTCAACAGGGAAGCAGAGATTCATTTAACAAGCGTGATACTAAAACTGCAGTGATTCACTTAACAACCGTGGCAAGGACTTTAAAATTCACTTAACAAGTGTCTCACTTAGCGGCAGGAATTTTGGGCTCAATTGAGGTCATAAGACTACCTATACAGTGACCCGAGGAACCAATATGAATCAGAATATTATAAGATCTGGGATAAATTTTATCGATGGTTGGAATAACAAAGGACAGACCCAAGATAAGCAATGATTAAGATTTATAGAATGGAGATTAGAATTATATATGAAATCTTAACAGTGAAAATATGTAAGAAAAAAAACAAAGCAACATGGATGAAAATGCGATATCCTTATATTTGTAAATGCTGAATAGACCAATTGTAAATAAGCATGGTGGTTATAATATCTAACTTTATATTCTAGTACAGTGTTTCTCAACCTTGGCAACTTGAAGATGTCCGGACTTCAACTTGCTAAGGTTGAGAAACACTGTTCTAGTATGTATGGCAAAGACATTGCCAGGATGGTTACAATGTGTCCAATGTTTTAATGTGTGTTTAATAAATAAAAAACTGTTCAATCAAAAAAAAAGGGGAAGCAAAGATTCACTTAACAACCGTGTTCCTAACTTAACACTTGCAGTGGTTCACTCAACAACGGTGGGAAGAAAAGTCGTAAAATGGGGCAAAGCTCACTTAACCACGGTCTTGCTTAGCCACAGATACCTGGAGCTCAATTGTAGTCATAAGTAAGGACTACCCATGTTGTCACCCTATTGTAGGGATTAAGAATGTGCTTTTTGCAATGTTACGCCCCAAGAAATGTTGGGTGGGAAATGGTTAAAAATGCGGTGGTTCTCCCAGGCTTCGGGATAGGGTGGTTGGGGAGTTGGTATGATTTGTTTTTTTTTTATTGGGAGTGTATAATCTTCTGGTTGCTTGTGACTTTTTCTAAATACAGTATGTTGTGGTTGTCTTTTAATTGTAAGCTGTCCAGATTGGTTAAGGAATCAGGCGATCTCGAAATTGAATTAAATTAGCAAACTTATTTGAAGAGGAAACAGTGAAAGGGGGAAAAGAAACCTTTGGGGTGGGAAGGGGAACATGGAAGGGAGCCCAACTGGACCTCCTAAAAGTGACCATATTTTTTTCCCCCTGGATTTCGTACTTCAGGGGTCGACAACTTTAAACCCTCAAAGAGCCATTTGGACCCTTTTTCCCACAAAAAAGAAAACATCAGGACCCACAAAAACCCTTCACATTCCTGATTATTTCCTGAGCCGCCACAAAACTAGCATATGTAGTTGAATTACCGTAATTTTCAAAGTATAAGATGCGCCTTTTTCCCTCAAAAAAGAGGGTGAAAATCTGGGTGCAACTTATACACTGAATAGAGCATTTTTGGCCTCCCGAAACCCCTCTCCCTTTGCAAAAATGGCTGTGCATAGCCTTTAGGAGGCTTCCGGAGGGCTCCTGGGGGCTGGGGAGAGCAAAAAATGAGTGAAAAACAGGCCACTTTTACTCATTTTTTGCCTGCCCAGGCCCCAGGAGCACTCTATAAGCCTCCTAAAGGCTATGCATGCCCTTTTTTGGACAAAAAAACAGGCCCGCTTTTCGCAAAAAAAAATGGGCCATTTTGGGAGGCCTGCAGAGTGCAAAACCTTTTTTTTAAATTTGCCTCTTCAAAAACTTGGTGCATTTTATACTCCGAAAAATATGGTAAATGTTCTTTTTTCCTCTGAAAGTTTTCTTTTCTTGGATTTATCTGCAGTTGGCCTACTTGAAAAGCTCAATAAATTGCATACCTGCAGGTGTCACTCATTGGCGGTTGTGACGCATATTTTGAGTGACAGAGAGCCGCAGCAGAGAGATGAAAGACCCACATGTGGCTCCAGAGCCGTAGGTTGCTGACCCCTGCCCTACTGGGTTTCGGGACTGGCTGATCCAGATCCCTGCAATATTAAGTGTCATTTTAAAGCATCCTTTAGACAACCTTGCTACCTTTAAAAACAATCCCCCCTGGGTCATGTTTGGCAACGCTATTTTGGTAAAAACAAAACCACCCGGGTTTCAGAAACTCGGCAACCCGGAAACGGGAGTCTTGTTTTTGTTTTTGTTTGTTTTTGTTTTGGTTTTGGTTTTGACAAACTCTCTTGCTAATGACATTGTAATTCAGACAATCCTTCTCATATGTTCTAAGGCTGCATAAATGTCTCTCAGTTCAAGTTTCCTCCCTCCTTTTATCAATTTTCTCCTTTTGGGACAAGTGGGGATCTCGTGTAAACCTTTGAGTGTATCGATAGAACGCAGGACAATTTTAAAAAAGAAACAACTTCAAAAGCATGAACCATTCCTTCTGAGAGTCTTCCAGCTTTCCATTCTTCTACTTCTATTTCTTCTTCTTCTTCTTCTTCTTCTTCTTCTTCTTCTTCTTCTTCTTCTTCTTCTTCTTCTTCTTCNCCCTGCACTTTGTTTATAACATCTCCCTGTTCCTCAAAGCAAAGGAAATCCTTCACTTTCCATTGCAGCTTTGGTTGCTTTTCATCTGCTGGAAGATTGCTTGCATCCTTGAATTCTTGATTTCTTTTGCAAATCCTCCTGCTCAGACAAATGGCTTGTCCAGTCTTTTTATTAAAAACTCTCGGGGCTGGAGCACCCACAACTTCTGGAGGCAAGCTGTTCTACTGGTTAATTATTCTCACTGCCAAGAAATTTCTCCCTAGTTCTAGGTTGCTTCTTTCCTTGATTAGTTTCCACCCATTGCTTCTTCTTCTGCCTTCAGGTGCTTTGGCTTCCTCTTCTTTGTGGCAGCCCCTAAGATATTGGAAGACTGCTATCATGTCTCCCCTAGTCCTTCTTTTCCTCAAACTAGGCATACCCAATTCCAGCAACCGTTCTTTATACGTTTTAGCCTCCAATCCCCTAATCAGCTTTGTCGTTCTTCTCTGCAGTCTTTCTAGAATCTTTTTTACATTGTGGCCACCAAAACTGGATGCAGTATTTAGCTTAAGAGCTGAACGAGGCTGCCTTAATTTTGTCTCACTGCTTTGGCATGCTGCCTTGGGGCATAGAATACTGGGAGCGCTTTGCTTCATCTGGTTGGCTGGTGGCAGGTGACGGTGGAGGTGACTTAAGGTGTGCTCTGCTTCTCTCCCCTTTCTCTCCCACCAGCCCAAGGTAGTGTGAAGTCCCCTGATCTCTTCTGCCTCGTCTTCTTCACCACCAACCAGGGGCCTGCCAAAGGGAGGGTCTCAGTCCTTCAGGAAAGAAAGTTTAATATGTATGGCAACTGTAAGTGCTGTTTTTCACTTCTAGACTAATGTCTTCCCATCTCCACCAAGCCAGATGTTGTGCTCCTGTAAAACATCATTTCTGTCCGTCTCCCTTCCCTTCCAAACCAGGCCTTTTGATCCCTCCTTCTAGAGAATTGAGAAGGGGAGGGAGACTAGAAAAGCCCGAGAGATAGAGAGGCAGAGCAGGAAGCAGACTCAGGACGGACTTGCAGTGATGATGTGCGTGACTGTTTCTTACCTTTGCAGAACAAAGTGAAAGTTACAATCCACGTACGAGAAGGAAAGCTCTACCTCTTTCATGTCATCTTGAGATACATCAATTCAGGGAGCACCACGGTACTGGGCAAGATCACCGCTTTTCAGCCACGAAAACGAGGTAAGGGTCAAGATGGTATGGCCAAAAGGACAGAGATGAGTAGACAGGTAGATGGGAGATTGAAGAGGATACATGTTAGGTAAGCTCCCCGTTGGGAGAGCGAGTACATTCAGAGAAGTGTTGTGAGAGTTGTGTTGGAGAGCACACAAACCAGCATACAGAGACAATGCAGTTTAAATGGCTTTTATTTTCGTGGAAATAGAGGTATCAGAGTCCATCAAACAGTTCAAGTCATATACAGTTAAGACAGTCAGTCATCAATGTCTTTCAGT